AATTGACAATTAGATTCAAGAATCCGAATCCGCTCCATTTAGCGGAATTTATTGAAGATGGGAGCTCGGCAATAACGACCACCTGAAATAAATAAATCAAATTTCCAAATTAATTCTATTGAATGGATTGAAATTGATTCGCCAACAACGATTATCCACCTCAAATTAATGATTCTATATTCTGAATGAATTCTATTGATTTTTTTGATCGAACATATTAAATTATCAATGATGATGATTCATCTATCAAATAATTCAAACCGAATTGTTGAAATATATTCATTCAATAACATCGGTTTTCTTTTCTAAAATATCATCATTAATAAAAATATTCTAGGAAACATATTATTATATTAATTATTTCTTCTATATTGAAATGAAATTGATATCTTTTCTTCATACCTTCATTAATTTTACTATTAATTGAATCGTTCTGTAGCGGCACAAATGGCTGCGGGTCAAAACCCCGAGCCCCAAACCAGGGTAGGTTGACTTCCAGGTAGTCTATTCTGTTCATTCCTGGTGGTCAACCGAGGTATTTCTGTTTTGACCCAAAGCCAAATCAAAACCATCCTAGATCTTGATTCTGAATGATTCGTGTTGGCATATGGCTTCAATAATCCATATAATAACCAATGAAAATCAAACATAAATCTGCAGGCATAAAAATATTCAATATTGGATCAGAATCATATCATTCAAAATCAATATATCATGATTTGAATTGAATAGATTTAACTTAATCCTTCAAATATAATATCGATAAGGATAAATTCTTCGTCCATATTAGCCGAAACAACCAGACCAATATAAATATTTCCCTGGCCGAAAAGAACCCGAAATTGATGGATAATTATAAAAATTTAGCAATTTAGATATTCGCCCCTTTCAATTCATTCGTTTATTTCCATTTGACCGAATAATTAGAATAATTTAATGAATTAATAGAATACCAATTCTATTTATTCGAGGATATAATAATCTATTTGATTGATCCCATTGATTAATTCGATTCTTCCCTTTCCTTTTGGGATGTCTTCCGAGACAATATATTAATACGATATAATCACCAGGGTTCAATATTAATAGTTTATTTTAAATCAATCGAAGATATATATTTCATTAATAATCCAATATCATAAAATTCAATTATATTATTTAATATTTAAGAAGATATAATTCATCGTCTTTAGAAGGACCTATATCGTATGAATATATATATATTTAGATATAAAATCCATATCTATATTATTTGAATTTGAATCAATTAGAATTATCATCGATATTCCTAAATATTTTTTTTTCTGCCGTTTCATATGCACTTTTGCATTTATCAAATTCATATTATATTTCAAAAATATTATAATATTATATTTTCATATTATTGGATCTCTTATTCGAATCGCGCAACATCGATTATATATTTCATCAAATTTTGGTAGCGTGGAATTTATACGAAATATCTCTAAATTCATGAAAATATATACATTTTTTTTTTTTTTTAAAAAAAAAATAATATTCTTTTAAATATATATTTCAAAATATATAATTTATATATATATAAAGCATCATAATATTAATACTACAATTTTATATAAATTCATCAATATGAATATTTATTAATTAATCATATATATTTAAAATCATTATGCTATATATATATATCCTTTCAAATAATTTTAAAATCATTATATTATATATTCTTTATTTTTGGCATATATAACTAATTGACCAAATTAATAATGGCGCCAAATTGTACGAGGTATTATAAATATTGTGCCATTTTCAATTAATCTCCGAATTTCAAACCATGCTTAAAACGAAAGATATATTATAAATCCGCCTTAGAAAGATCCACAATGGAATCTAACAATCATTGCTAGCGCGGATTTAACGCAATGCTATCGCGCAATTAGCTCATTTTTCAAAAATCTGCAAACATTCTAAATATATCCTAAGACAAATACTAATGCATTCTATCCCAAACCTAACGTCCAACAACAAAAATATATTTAATTAAAGACCCGCCACATAATTTAATATTAAAAAAATATATAGTATTTTCGACCCCTTTATTTATTTATTTCTTATATTTAATCGGATTCTATATATTTCCATATAAAATCTAATCGATAAATTCTTCTTCCAAATACATCTAAAAAATAATATTCATATAAAAATTCATTATATATTCTTTTATTTTTGATATACATAATTAATTTTAAAATAAACCTTACAAATATTGGTGCCAAATTAGAATATTCAAATATATCAATATATTTATATATATTTATTATTTATTATATATAAATATATAATTAATCTATATATAATTTAAATATATAATATATTTCATATCAAATCAATTATTGATATTTTTCATTTATATTAATATATATATATCCAATATAATTGGATAGATTTATTGAATTATTTATGATTTCCATATTCTAAATTAATTTGATTCTCTTTCGGGTGGGGCCTTTATATTGGATCTATACCTATATGGATGTCTGCCTAGGTCCCCCTTCCATGTAAATGCCCATGCGAGAGGTTTTCTTTGTTAGGTGTCTAAGCAATCAAATAGCATGCAGCAGCACACAAGCAATAGCAGCAGCAGCACCAGCAGCAGTGGTGGACAAGCTGCACAGAAGCAACACCCAAGCAGCACAAAAACAGCAGACAAGCGGTGCAGCAGCAGCACACAAACAACACACAACAAGCAGCAAGCAAGAGGCAGCAACAGCAGCAGCACGCGCGTGAATGCCTAAAGGGGGCGTTGTTGAAAGACTTGCGTAGGCAGTTTGGCGTACAGGCACATGTTTCATGAAAGCATGAGTTTTCTGGTTCAGACTTCTTTAAATGTTGTTCAAGGGTCTTCGGGAAAGACAAGCTTTATTTGTAGTTGTTTAACTTGACACTCACCCTCCATTGAGCAGAGTAGTATAGGAGCACATGCACTTCGACCTGTAAAACGACAATGAACTCCTAACAGTGATAACCATGGAATGAGCACATGTGATGTAATGTAATAGCCAGTACTGCATTTGGACATATTTGGACCAGCACCTGCGCTTCCTGACATAGTTGCTGCATAGAATTGTGGAACAGACTGCGTAGACTGTCTGGCTCCCAGCAACAGACCTATTTTCGCGTTACACGACGCCTGCGCCCCAAGCAGGACAGCCTCCGCAACTGCTCAACAGTTCTTTTTGTATAACCTAATCCTTTGCAAAAAAACACGCGGCTCAATTGTATATAAGATTGCTAAATATCTAAAAAGTTCTTAATGTTCATTTGTTTTTTGGTAACTAATGCTTCCATCGATGTTTCCTTCGATTCGGAACCTGATTCCGGATCTGCATCGATGGATTCCATTGTAACCATCCATGTCTGTTTCATTGGTGCTGCGCATGGCATTTCTACGAAGCGGCTGAGTTTCTCACCCCACTTCCCTTGTAGACATTCATCAATTGGCGCCTGAGGGAACGCCGGAGGCAGCGGAATTGACGGGCTCAAGGTGTTTCCATCCTCTTCTTTTCTGAATCCGAAAGCTGACCCCTGGGCACCCCGACGGTCGCCAAGGAGGTCTCTTCACGCGGTTCTGGAACTCTCCGTCGCTCAGCTCGTCGTCGTCCTGGCTGACGTGAGGTGCCCTTCCGAGCCTGAAAGTTTACAGAAGTTAACTATACTTATGAGGAAAACATAGGGTCGGAGGAACATGTTTCAGATACTTATGTGGAAAACCTAAACCTATTCCTTCCCTGAAAACTCACATGGAACCTCAGAATCGACCGGCCGGTGGTTTTGACCATTTTCCTCTACAACCCAGTGGGGTTCCATGTCAATCTTGGAAGTGGACAATGATCCCTCGGAATAGTACCATCCGATGGATTGCTGGAAGATGCTGGAAGGTGGATTTGCTCCACAACTGTTGGTTGGGGAAAGCGGGTCAAGGGAGCACTTCTCATGCTTTTTACAAGGAAATTCCTAGACTCGGATCACTGACCATTTTAAACTTGGTCTTAGACTTCTCAGTGAAAGCGAAAGCCCCCTACCCTCTCGCTCCACGCACATGGTACCACCTGGAGCGCGCCGTTGATGTCAAGCAGCTTCTGCGACCCACGATGTCCCCAGCAGCTTTCCTGGGCTCCCTCAGTTTGCGTGGAAAATGAAGGTTACTATTATAGTCACTATATATAGTTACCCTTTTTCTACCTGTTCTTGTTTAGTCGGGTGCCACCACTCCCCCCAAAAAGTACAAGGATTATCCACTGTTCCTGGGTATGTTTTCATTCCCTGTAGAACCGTTCGCTGACACTCTTTCATCAAGCCTTGATTCAGCCCCCCGGGTTCGTCGAAGTCGTCCCTCCCTCCGACTCTGGGGCGCCTCCAGCTCCAGCGAGGGAGCCTCGTCAGCTGAGAGTGCTGCAGGTCGTCTGTTGAGCCGGGGGTCTGGTTGCTTCGTCTGGCGCCAATGGACCACATGTGTTGGCACGCTGCTTCAGCGCGCTGCTTCAGCTTGCGTACAATGCAGCGGGGTGATGTGTTGCAAAGCTCTTTCAAACTCACAATGCAACGCCACACGCACAGACACACCAATATAAAACACATAATAGACATACCAATTCAGCATATAAAAGACTTCACAACGAAAACAGGTTGCACATGGTCGCACAGCTTGAGACCTAAGGACGCGGTTACGTCGCGGACTTCCCACCCCGTCCTCTATCAGTTGTCCGCTTCCGGCCAGCTCCGCACGCTGCTGTGAAGCAGCTGCCTTGGGCGTTTGAAAGCTAAGAGCATGCGTGGGATAAGCAACACATGAGGAAGAACGTGCGAAAGTGTTCGGCCATGACAATCTCATCGGAACACCCTTAACTTCCTGAAAAACCTTCTCACTCTCCTCTCCTCGCAAAACTTATCATTCTTGCGATGAATGTAAAGACCACCGCTGCAGCGCCCTTTGGACAGCTCCAAAGCCCCTTTTTCGTGTCACCTCACATCATCATACCACCACCCGCTCCCGGCGCTCCAAAGACGTTAGCCGCCATCCCGCAGCCGCCACAGCCACCGCAACCGCCGCAGCCCGGTGCTCCCGGTGCTCCCGGCGCTCCCGGTGCGAAGGGGCTGACACTGGGCCCAGCAGAGGCCCCCCAGCGCCAAATGATGATATCGCCGTGAAGCCCGGCGGTGAGAAAGACTCCGTCACTCTGCCTTAGAAGTTTTTGGCAGATCTCATTAGCAGATCTGGTGGTTCTTGGGAAATCGTGGGACACTTGCAAACCAAAGTCGGAGTTCAGAAAAACACCTCCAACAGATTGCAACGGAATGTGAGGTAGGAACGCGCAATGTTCAAACATCTGTCACCTTGACATTCCTCAATTTCCCAGATCTGCCTCCGCTCCCCTCGGCACCGGCCCTGGTCCAGGTCCGCTTTCTTCCCTCCAGGCTGCGCGTCCACGATGGCCTTTACATCTGAACGATCTTTACAGCAAAAGCTCCCTCGTGGACGGAACTCGGGCAAGTCATATGCGGTGATATATCCTCAGCACACGCACACGCACATGCCCTGTGAGTCGGCTCTACTCTCTGTAGGCCCCTCACAGACCCAGGGACCAGGGATGTCGTGAGAAACCCGGAGAAAGCCGCGAGCCCTCCGGATTCTGTTGCCCAAACTGCCCGCCTGACGGCCTCATCCACGTCAGAACGAAGCGCGGTAGTTCTGCGACGTCGCGACTGAAAGACATCGAGGTTGGGTAAAGGGAAGGCCACCCAGCTACACTGCGAATCACTCACATGGAAGTGGAAAAATCACCGTCCTAGTCGCTAATGAAAGTAATTAGTCTTCGGTTCGGAACCATTGGAATCACTTCCATGCGATTCCGGTTCGTCATCCGACCCCGCTGGCGCCAGTTGGCGGCAAGGAGCCCAAGGTCTGGCCGCACAAGAGCATGGGCTTGTTGGCTGTGGGGTGCATCATCAGCTCCAACGCGGTGTTCGAGGTATGCTCCCCCATCGGCTGACGGTTGAAGATCTGCAGCGGAGGATCCGATGAAGGGAGGATCACGAGGAGAAATGCCAGGATCCAGGGTCATCCGAAAACATAAGTGAGGATTTTTATTCAGTGAATCCCCTAAAATAGTCGAACAGCGATTTGAGCCTGAAGAAAACATGGACCTCCCTCAGCTCATGACAAATCAAGAGTGATTTGACATTTCACATGATAACTTCCCTGATGATTCATGGCATCTAGCAATCTAGCAAGGCCAATGTAGAAGTAGCGGCTATAACTGTGACAAACTGAGAATGCCCACTGCACTTGTGGAAATATCGGCGCAGCTGGCTGTGCCTTCTGGGTGGCTTGGGATTGTTGAAGGGGGGTGGTCACCAGCGGAAGGTTTGGTTGCAGGGCATCGGCCGAAGGAATCGACATCACATGCACCAGCGCTCGACCAGCCTGTGCCCCTGAGGCATCATAAATACTGACCTCGCCATTGCGGAAGGTCGCGATCATGAAGTTCTGAAATTGGAGGAGTCCTCCCAGTGCATACAGAGGCCCAAAATCCAACCCAGCATGGAAAATCACACTGCCAAGTCATGTTTACTGCATAGCTTGTTAGATGGACAGGATACTGATGGAGCTTTGGTACAAAAAGTCGTTTGCAAGTTCCAGCACATCCAAGCCAAAAGACTTGCACTTAGACTCTTGGCCACCAATCTGACAGTGAAAATTATTCAACAAAGAATATCCAAAACAGCCGGCGCACTCAACACTCCCCAACAAGGCAAACGAAGGCAAACACTGTTTTCCATCAACATCCTTGCCACTCCGTTCAAAACTAATGTAATTGTGAGCGCTTTTTGGAAAACCAATGCAACTACATAGCTCACACCCCTTCAAACAAACAGTTCTTATGACTTTGAATTTGTACATGTGTGGTCTGGTGCTTGTTTCTATAAGTTGATATACGTTGGCATGTTATTCAAAAGTGAACATTTCACAACAATTGAAGTTGATAAGCTGAATAGTTGCCTTCAACATGGATGACAGTTGTTTGTCCAACGTGCGTGGGTCCGAGTTCACCAGGCTAAAGCTCCCCCTCCCCTCACAAACACGACTCTGACCCACCACACCAACTCGCGATCCAGGGTTCGCCTCTCACGCCCTTCCACTAAAAGTGGGGTACTAGAGAGTAGGTATGTACGACACAAATCACCATGTACACAAAGAAAAGTGTATCACACCAAAATCTCGCACCGGTGTGAGACACAGTGAGGATGGGTGACATGTTAAAAATGAATTACACCAGCCACATATGCAAGCATCTAATTCGGAACATCAATATCAGCGAGATTATGTTTCAAGCGAAGGCATTTCTTAAGCTTTTGATAGAGGTTATGCCTCTTTCGGTACGGAATATCAGAGTAAGGCGGATTGGGACAAAGGTCATCGGCAGCTTTGAGTGTCGGAAGCACCCGCACATTAAGTGGATACGATTGGGTCGGCATGGACGAATAGGATGTCAAATTCGCAATCAGCAGATCAGCAAAAGGCATGTTTGGACGCGCAGAGATGTCCCCTACAAGACTACGGTGGTATCCCAGTCGTATCAAAGAGCTCGCATTGGTCTTCTTATATCGGGGGTAAAACTCGCACTGGAGGGAGTTTTCTAGGTAACGCACAACAGAGCGAAGAACAGAGGCTTGATGCCACAAGCTTCTTTTTTCCTGAGGTTGGATTTGAGCTTCGGGTGAGTGAAAGTCATATGGCAAAGGCAATTTTTTCGGTTTTCGATGAGATCCAAATAGGCAGAAAATGTCCTGTAAAAATCGCAAAGTAAAAGGCCAATTCATACCATGAAACACCAAAATCGCCTGGTGTAGCCGGCGAGTCACATGATCTCCATTCAAAGGTATGAAACATACGCCAAACCTTAAATGCAATGGACGCACCACAAGGACACGCTTGCGCAACAACTTCTGGTAGGTCACACCGAAGGATCCAGCCCACATTAGAGACACCCTCTTTTTCCACCCCTACTCCCCACCAAGGCCGTAGGTCCTGTGACCGGATATTGAGAAGCAATGGTTCCTCGCGCTTGTAGGGACTCCAGGTCAAAGCACGTGATGCCTTGCTGCCCGCCCACCCACAGAGCGCCATTGAAGACTCGCAAGCAGTTCCTCGGCCGCGGAACGTACGACGTCACGTCGGAGTTCGTTGGTGTGTTTGGACTCGTAACGAGCGACGTGTGTTTTGTTGGACGCACGAAGCACGGAAGAACATGTCAGAGCAAACATGCCATTACTCGGTTGTGTTGAAGACATGTTCACTCTTAATGGCCCCTAACCACAGATCAACTTTGTGACCAATGACCTCATCCTCGAGTAGTTCAACTACTGAAGTTACAAAACACTCTGCCCCGTTGGCAGAAAGTTAAAATGGCCTCAGGCCTCTGGCACTCGATGTCTGGCGATGCCCAAGCTTCCCTATTCTTCCTAGTCATGTGGGCTACCCCCAAGCTGTTTGCATTCCATTTTACTGTACAAAATGCTCGACCTGCAAGCTGAATCTGTCGAAGATTCACTGGTCCTGACGGGTTCGTCAGTGGCTGGCCATGACACTGGAAACTGCCATTGGGACCTGGGCCGCAAAGCTGCGTGCGACGGAGCTTCGAGGGAGAGCTGCTGCGTGGTCACGTGAGGGAGAAATGGTGCACCCTAAAGCTCCAAGTATCTTCATAGGAGCCCTATGAAGGTGTTTGGTGTATAGGACCCTCCTGGTGTAACTGGTGTTTGGGCGCCATGTTCGGGTCCAGGAGACGAGCCCCTCGTTTCGCCCTTCGTTTCGGAGGCACGACGTCGCGACGAAGAGGAGCAGTGGTGCGAATGCGCTGGGTCCCAGGAACCGGATGTCACATCCAGGTCATCGAGGGAAAGCACACATCTAGGTCATCTAGGTCATCTAAGTGCCCATACACCACCCTTTCCATGGTGCTGGTGTGGGTTTCTGGTTTGATCTGGTCTTTGTGAGGCACATCCAACTATACCCACCGCCCGTCAGACAGGTCTCGGAAGGGGTTCAAGGCGAAGCTCCACTCACTGACAACACCTGCTGATCCAGCTGACATCTTATGGCACAAGGAAACTCCTTACAGCTCCTTTCCTTGCTTCCCGAATCCAAGGGACATCCAATCCCTTCTCCAAATTCGGGGGGTGAGCAGCCCCACCCGGCCGCCACACACCCAACCAAACACACAGATAAGCAGTCCCACAAGCTTCGATGTCAGCCTACAAGCTTCGAAGCCCGATGTTCCAACCGTGTCCCACCGGAAGACTCCGTTCCTCACCGTCCCCGTCCTCCGTGGTTCCCACCGTCCACCGGTCGGGTCGGTCGTCTCGACCGGGTCTCCGGGCAGGTCCACAGCCGGACGGTGCCCTCATTGGATCCGGAGATGAGCACGGAGCTGTGCACCGTCAAGCAGGTCACCGAGCGCCGGTGGCCCAGGAGCTGCTCCTCCTGTCAGGTGGTGGGGAGAGGTGGAGAGGTGGAGAGATGGAGCAGGGAGCGTTGCTTTCATGGGTCGCCCCTAAGGAGAGAGGCGGAAGTTGGGGTGGAGGACAACTTGGCAACCAAATAACATCCATCGATAGCAGTTTGTCTTTGGGACTGGGGTCTTTTTGTTGAATCCGGAGTGGGATGACGAGAATGAAAAAGAACCCGGACGTCGATGCTTTAAAAAGCTTTTAAACAACAGCAACAACAACAACAACATCAGGGCAGCCCGCTGTGCTTTGGGCAATCCCCGTGTTGAATTCAGGGTTGACACTTCTGTTTTGGGAGGTGGCCAAGCCGTCCAAGAACATATCTGTTGATTTTGCATGATTTTGCATGTTCGAATATTCGAAGACTTGTCACTCCCTTTCTGAATGCATGTTGTTTGGATGGTTTCCCTCTTCTTGGTGTCCCGGCATTTCCTGTTACGTGACAGATCCAACTGGAGACCCCTTCACGGACTTTCTTCAACGCACGTGCTTTCGGGTGAACTTGGGAGCAACTTCTGTGGAGAGCTCCACGGGGGCGGTAGTATCAGTAGCGTGCCCAGTCCACGCGTGCTATCTATATATCAGTTTGTTGTGCTATGTTGTGCTGTTCAAGTGTCCCTTCAATTCAATTTTCAAAACCGCTTGCCTCACTGCATGGCAATAGACCATCAGAAACCATCAGAACATTCGGCCGACTTTCGCTTCTGGGGCGTCCTTGACTGGCTGCTTGCAGAAAGCTCGTATCGTGCCGCTCCATAGGCCGCAAAACAACCAGGTGGATGAAGCTTCATAGCATAGCGAAGTGATGCTGGAGCCCAAGTGGATTGGAGCACAGTCCTGGCGAAGCACAGGGCAAAAAAAAAGGCCGAGGAGGTGGAAAAAGCACGTGGAGATGCACAGCATGTCGATCACATCACCCCCTTTCAAACCTGCGCTTCACACAAGGGGTACCCCGCCGGACAGACTAACCTGGAACCTGGGAATTGACCCGTGGTTGTGATCCATCTCTGAATACCCACCCGCCGGGGTGTTGGGGTTCCACGCGGGTCCTCTGCAGGGGTTTCATGTCCCGTCTGATCTCCATCAATTTCCCCGGAGCTCGTTGAGGCCTGTGGATTCCCGGAAACATCCTACGGGCCATTATATCAAAATGATCACATATGATCACCATCTTTTTTGGGGATCACTACATTTGGATCATCAAAATGATCATCATCTTTTTGGGGGATCACTATATTTGGCTCTTTGGGGAATTTGGGGTTCGCATTTCTTTGTCGTGCCACTCGTCTGTGCAGGTTCAATGCCGTGATCCGCAAATGTATAGGAGGATACGGCGGTTTCCGACAGGTTCTACGGGGGGATCTGCGAACTTCTATCTATGACAAACACTCCATGTATGCCATATATGCCTACATTGGGGTGGTATTGGGGGTCAATGTGGGCATATATATTCCATCTGGGTATGACAGGGGGTCTACATAACCAGCAGTTCCGTGGAGGCTTCGCCGCCGGTTCCGCACGGAGGCTTCGGAAACCGCGTCCGGCACGTCGAAGAAAACCATGCCGAATCAGCTGGAACTGCTGGAGGGGTCACACTCCCAGACACTCCATGGGACTGGAATAGGACTGCCGCCCCACTGACCCCCAATAGCACCCCAACTGATCGGCATATATGGCAGTCCCATTAGTCGCGTCTGGGACTTGTTGATGCCTTCGATTTCCCAGACACGACCTGTCCGGGACCTGGGTGCGAAGCGAGCAGTGATCGGACGGTGTCAAAGGTCGATGGCACAGATCACACATGTTCAGTTGCAGGCCTTGTTCAACAATAGTGACAACAGTGATGTTCTGACTGCTACAGGTTTCCTAGGACAGACCCCCAAGTGATGCTTTTGGCGTTCAAGATGGGTCACTGATCTGAATTGGCAAGAGCTCCCTAGAGCTCCCAACTTCTCAGAGTGTCAGGCAGCGGTGCCCGCGAGCGAAGGGCTTGCCCGGGCTTGCCCGGTCTTCGCCGAAGACTCGCCGGCTCTTGGCCGGAGCGATCCGGCGGTCCAGCCCTGGCGCCCAGTCCTGTACCAACTGCATCTCCCCTGAGGGGCTCTTCTCAGCGCGCCAGACGAACAAGTTTTCATCTCGGCCTCCAGAGAAAATCTTGTTATCAGCCATGACCATGCAATTGACGCCATCATTGTGGCCCATGTTGTGCGGCATGTAGTAGACCTGCAAAAACCGTTGGACATCAAAACCAAAAAAATTGTCCCTAGGGGCACCAATACCTCCTCAAATTGCATTTGGACCCTCAAAGCCTACATAAAGGTGTCTCCAATCACCTTCACAAAAGGTATGTGGATCCTCTGGGTTTTGTAGTCATCAAGTGCCTCTGAGAGCGCTGAGTCCTACAGCCAGTCTTGCAAAAAGCACGTGATCAATGTCTGCGGCACTGTGGCAGGAATTTTCCAATGGAATACCTAAACAGGACCAATGGGACTGCGTGGTTTGGGGGGTATATAGGAATATATTCCAGTCGCATGTCTGGGATAAGATCGAATCAAACACCCTTGTCCGACGAAACCATCTGAAAGCCTGGATGCTGAAGCTTGATGAGCGTCAAAGAAACCCAGACCATCCATGGGACTGGCCTATATAACTACATTGGGGTGGTTTGAGGGGTCAATGTAGGCATATTCCATACATGGATGGTCTGGGGCTATCATTGTAGAACTCACAAGCCGACAGCTGAGGGCAAAAGGTGGCAAACGTTCAGCAAATGTTGTCCTGAAACCTACAGGTATGCCATTCCAATCTTCGACCCGTTCCAGTTCCTTTTTCACCCAACACTTGATCATCATGATGACATCCGAATCCCCCCCTCCTTCCAGCAACTCACTGGGAGCCACCTCTGCTGTGCCTTCCAAGCGGCTTTCTGAAGCTCCGGGCCCTTCCCACTCAACATCGGCCCCGTCGCATCCTCGCCGCCCGGACCGCCGCCCGGACCGGCGCAGGGACCGCCGCCTCCGCCCGCGGGGGCCGGGGCGAAGGGGTTGGAGCCCACGGGCGCCTGAACGCCACGGTTCCTGGAAGATGAGTCGATGCGACGAGGTGGGTGGATGGATGGGAGTTGTTGCGAAAAGAGGCAGAACTGTTGGGGTTTGTTCCGGGTGTCTGGTTTTCTTGGGGGCTGGAACTCCGGTTTCGGCAGGTTGGTCAGGAGTCATGGGACTGTTCAACTTGACATGGACAAGGGAACCTGCAGGTTATAAACGAATGTGTCCTTGCCTGCAGGTTTGGATATGTTTGGATAACGTACCCTATAGGGCTTCGAGTAATTTCGGTGTTGCGAGCTCGTGCTGTTCACCTTCTTGCTGATGGCGTGAAGGCAGGAGCTGAGCCTTGGGTTCGTCGAGCCTGTCGACCGATTGTTACCACCTCGAGATGTGCGGGGTGAAGCTGGGACTGTCTGTGGGTAGCTCTGTGGTCTGTGGTCTAGTAAGCAGGTTTCCTGATTACTAGCTACCTAGCTCTTTGTGGTCTGTGGGTCACTCCTTTTCCATTTGGGGTTTCCCATGGTTTCCCTGTCCCTGTCGCCAGGCCAAGTCACCATCCTTTGTTGCCCCAGGACATGGAGGTTACGGCATCGCAAGATTCCTCTTCCCCACGTGCGAGACAACCTCCCTACTCAGCGGCAGCCTTTCACCCATTGAATGCTGCTAGCTGAGCTCGATTGGATGGCCGCGGGCAAAAACCATGCCGAAACTGAGACCTTGGAACTCTCCTCTTGCAAGCCGTCTTTCATCTATACCAACTGCATAGCTGTCTGTGAAGACCCTGACAATGCCCCAATGGCCCAAACACTCCATGTATGATATATCTTATAAGTTGTGGTGGTCCCAACCATGGAAGACATGTTGGTCAAATCTTCCAGTTTCCTCAGTTGTGCCTGGATACCCCCTCATTTCACAGTCCTTCTCGGCTTCTCAGATCTAACTGGCTCAAATCTGTGCTGGGCGCCCCTGGCGGCCAACCGAAAGCGGGTCTCCTTCACGCGCTTCCTCGACGATGTGTTCCCAAGAGCGATCGGGGTGAGCGAAGCTCTTCTTTGGGATTAGATGGGTGTGGAAGAGCCATTCAAGGGCCCCAATGGGTTTCCTTGCCGACCATGAACGAAAGGGCCGACTTGGTTTTGTAGCCGAAGACCCTTACAACTACCCTTTACAGTAACCCTAGAAGTCCAAAGACTATATTTTGACCAACTGAAGTACAGGAAATTCCTTTTTCGGGTCACCTAAAGACTATTCTTTGTATAGTCTTCGACGACCAGGGGTAATATAAATCAAAAACAGGGTTCTTCGGCCAGAAGTGAGAACAGTAAGAACCATTACAGTTAAACATGTCGGTGTTTCGATTCGATTCCTAGCGGCCCTTTAAGTGATTGCCATCATTCTAAACAGGAAGCAGGCTCACGGGCGAACTCTCGTCTCCGGGCCATCGGGGCCCGCCCATGCCGATGTACGCAGGGCGTGGTTTCTCGGGCACCGGGCCGTTTGAAATTCACGGAGATCTGCCAAAAGGTTCGTGTGACCTGGTTCTTGGGGACCGCCGGACAGTTCTTGTGAGGCCTATCAGCTGCCTCTTAGACGCCCATCCGAGAGTGAGTGGTTTGACCCTGGTTTTTCATCCCGACCTCACAAGAGTGTGGGCGTCAGGCCTCACAAGTGAGTGAAGACCTGATGTTCCAGAAGCCTTCCTTCGCTGAGGTCGGTTGGGGTTAAAAGGAAATAGTCGTTGGATCTTATATAGGGTATGGTCGAATAGTAGCTAGGCAGCTATAGTAGGAGAACTTCTGAGTTGGAAAACCACCGTTGGTGCGATCTGGCAACACATACACAGCCACCATCTATCACATTACCAGTAAGCGTTGATGTTGATGTTGATGTTGATGATGATGATGATGTTGATGTTGATGTTGATGTTGATGATGATGATGATGTTGATGATGTTGATGATGTTGATGATGTTGATGTTGATGATGATGTTGATGTTGATGATGATGATGATGATGTTGATGATGCTGATGATGATGATGATTATGATTCAGTTGGAGGTGATTGTTTGCCGACTGTTCCAGGTGGGACAAACCCAACTCATACAAAAAGGCCAAGACATCGCTTGAAACCTTCCAGACTGAGAAGCCTGAAGCTTCCTTCGTTGCAGCACCAAGCATGAAGGACAAGTACCACCATTCGGTGTGGCTTCAAAAAACAGCAGCAACAACAACAACAACAATGAGACCCGCAGCTTTCAGTCATATGTTCCAGTCCGGTTCCATTCTCTTAGCACCCCCCCCCCCCGTTTTCCGGGGCACCCGATGTCTGCCCTCGCATTCTGCCAACCTTCAGCAGGTTCATTGGATTGGGCGTGGCGTCCACCTCTTTTAGCTCGAAGTAGGACTCCAGAAAGCCTGGCTGGTCAGGCTGGTCAGGCGGTCAACGGAGAATATGACAACCTGTGGGGGCCTGTGGGAGTCAATCATTAAAAAACATATTGAGAACAACAAGGTGAGGACCGCAATCATACCAAGGAAAAAGACATGCCCAAAGATTCACCACCTTTTTCAAGACCCAAACATTCATGGTTGCAACATAACTTTCACTACCCAGTCGGGCTTTCGGCGAGAAAATGCAACCTGGCCCAAAATGAACTTGTTCACTCAACTGGTGAAGCTGAGAGTCAAACGACTATATAAGTAACATGCAAGGCCTAGAAGGCACCAACCTTCCGGATACGGGGGGTTCCACTGCATGCCCTTCTCCAACCCTGTTGATCAAGCCTGGAAAGCCGAATGCTGTTACACATCACCTCCACCCAGGTGGTGGGGGATGGGAGCCACTTCTCTCCTCCTCTTGCTGCAACGAATGCGGGGGGTCTTGGATAGAAAGGTGCATGTAACTCAAATGCTGTGAAACAAGCTTGAAGAGCAGGTGGCCTATGTGTGGCACGAAAAAATCACTTAACAAACCCAGGACTATGATCAGCAGGAAAGCCCACAGGAACATGCACCTTCGTAGTGGAAATCTTCACCCTCGAAAGGCTGGAGAATTGGGCCAAAACGAACCAACGCCCCACCTCGGTGTAGTCGCAGCAAGGCCGGATGGAAACGCCCATCCTCTTCCATGTCTAAGAAGGCCTGGCATGGCCCAGAAGTCAGGCGCTCGCCACTCCGAGGAAAACGTTCCGGTGACGTGGATGGCACCGTTTGGTCGTTGGATTTCATGGTCCTCCTTTGCCATCCACTTCCATGCTAAGCGAGTCAGTCAGAGTATACATCAAACATGTGTGTGTGCTTGTGGAGCCTCCTAGGCTGAGCTGAGCCATGTTTCCACTTCCATGATTCTCTCAGAGAGTGTCACTTCCGGGCTTTGGTATATGAGGTTGGAACACACGCTTGGTACAGTGGTCCCAGAGTAGATGGCACGTTTCCCCCATGATGTCCTGAACAAATGGGGGTCCATATAAACCACCTCCACCGACGTTGGGGTCTGTGCCATTGGTCCTCTCAATCCACGACAAAAGGGTCATGAGTCATGTCCGATTTTCTCGGGTCCAGGATGTCATACTCTTTCTCACGACCGAGGTAAGTCTGGCAATGTTTGGCTGATCAGGTTTGACAGGTGGTTGAGAAAAAAGGGCTTTTTTAGTAACGTAGATTCATGATGCCAGGGGGCAGTTTGATTCCCCACTCAGCGCCCGATTCCCAGGTGCCGCTCCGGCGCTCGGCGCTCCCGTCCGCGTTGGCGTGGGATGGCCCACCAGTGAGGACCAAGCAACTGAACACATCTGAACACTTATATATATATATATATAATATATACAAAAACACACGCATACCATATCATACCATCATACCCTGGATCTTCCAACTGGGTCAAAGGTTTGCCTTTTCGTCCATAAAGAACAGCCAGAAGGCAAACATTTGACATAGTTGGAAGATCTAGGCTAGGTATATAGACCCCTAACGGACTGAGGGCAACTATGGCTTTGTAGATGCCATTCTCTTGTATAGGTTATTTTCAGATCCCTTGCTGGTCTGTGATGGTGCATCGAAACAAGCCCCAAATAAGATAGAAAACTAAACCCCCACTGAACATGTATTGGACACCGTGTCACTATCTCTTTGGGGAGCTGCCCCAAACAAAACGCCTAAAAAGCGAGCAAGCTCAGTCTCGCCGACCTCTCACCCCGCCGGTCTCGTCTCGGTCTACCGACCTCACCTGTCGAGCCAGTTCGTCCTCTTGCCGGGGATGAAGGAGAATGCCGTACATCGCAAAGTTGTAGGTCACCTGCTGCTGGATGTCACTGGAGGTCACTGGATGTCCCCAAGAAGCGGTTGGTCGCCAAGGAAACGCACAGACGAGGTTTAGCAGATGCGGCACCTTTAGGTGGTGCCAAAAAAAGAATGCTTTCCATGCACCGAGTGAGCACTGCGAAATGGCGGGAGTTGCTCAAGCATTGATGTCCAAAAGAAATGCCAAAAGGCACTCAGCATCGCTCATCCTGTCTTCGTTGGTCTTCCATGGCTTCACTCTTTTGCAACCATGTTTCCAAACAAAAGTTGTCTTCGTGAGCGGGCACGCTGCGGTCACATCTGCGAGTGAATGACCAGGTTGGACGTATGCAACACCGGCCTCATCAAAGAGGATCTCCCGATTCTGCCTGAAGCATAGGTGATGCAGCTGTAGAGCCCCAAAAAGCCGGAGCCAAAACAACCTGGTAGGTTAATGGTTGGTAATGGCCTTTCTCAAATGTGAGTGTCTGTTATCGACTGGCACAGGTCATGGGACACACTACTCTAAGACTCTAAGCAACATATGCTTTAGACTCTTGAATGAAGGACATAACCCCCCCTACTATCTTGGAATGCAACACCTCGTCATTACCCTAGACAAGGTTATTTATCAAGAGCCTACATTACCCTCACACCCTCCCCTTGGAAAAAGAAACAACGACAAACATGGTCCTTCCACCTCAGAGGATGGACACCCTCTGGGTCACCCCTCATGGCTTCCAGCATGGCTTCGAAGCGCTTGAAGTCCCGCTGGCGCAAGAAGCGCCAAAGCCACTTGTGGCCTCAGGGAGGTTGGGTAGTTGGTAGGCTGAGCTAAGGTAGACTCTTGAGGTTCATAAACCCTCTCCATTTGGATTGAACAAAAGCATATTTGTATGGGGTTATTGTTTTATTCAAGAGTACAATCAAGAGTCTACATTAGGTACTTGGTAGGCTGAGCTAGGTACTTGGTAGTTGCTCCAAGGCTATTTTCATGGTTCGTCGGAGAAAACATGATGGGATGCGGATGGACACATGCACTGACCGGATGGATGAATCGATCCGGTAGAAGGGCTGGTGGAGTTGCGTCTTCAATCAGCCTTCGCAAAGACTGGTGATTTACCAAGCTGATAGTGGTGGTGGGTGCATGAATCTGCAAAGCTTGCAGGTAGCCCGAAGCACAGCTTCACAACTGTTCTTCCCGCTAACTTGACAGTATAGCAATATTAATCCCTCAGCTCTAAGACATTCTAAGACCCTAAAACCTGTAAACATCTGGCTGTACACTGTACACTGTACAAAGGATCCATCACAGAAAAAGGCCTAAACATTCGGGGCGCATCTAAAAGCGCAGACCATCCACTTGCAAAAAAAAGAACAGAAAACTAAACAAAACAAAACAATGCATGCACAAGTCTTTCTTGCTCAACATCTCCAACCAGCTAGGTTCCAAATGCTTCAAACCTCCGGTCCACCTGCGCCAAGCGCCGTTTGCGCCGTTTGTCAGGCGTGGTCTCGACGGCCACCCTGCTTGTAGCCTTGGGCCTTGGCACGGTCGAAGGCTTCGCGCAGGAGCAGCTGCAGCTTCTCCATACACAGTTCCTCGAAGCCCAGGAGGCTCAAGAACTTCGGCCAGGCCACATGCCCTGGCAGATCTCGGATCCTCACGAAGAAGATCCAGACCGGACCATTGACTTATTTTTTGGGGAGGTCGAGATATTGCAGTCTAAATGCCATAGAACAGATTATATATTACAATTTCATCTAGGTTTTCGGCCTAAATGTTCAGTTGGCGACTTCCAACCTTCGAAGTTCAGGGCGCTTTTTTTTTTGGCCAACTGGTGTGACAGTTCGAACGGCTTAGGAGGCCATCCTTTCGAACGATTTTCAAAGATCCATCTGAGGCTCTTATGAACTTCACTGAACATGTCGAAGAGAGCTGCGGACATCTCAGGCGCAGGGAAGCCATAGCGTTTGTCGTACTCTGCCTTCACGCGAGACCAATCTGGAGGACTCTCGGCTGGACGCACCAAGGTCAGGAAAAAGACCTGCAGGACTGTCACGATGACCGTGGTGCCCTCAAAATGCCGACACAGTTCGACCAGTTATACATGGTTGTACACATGACATTGGAAACATGTTGATGCTTGCCAAAATGATGCTGAAACCTGTTGCTTCCGTTCCTCTTATATACTCTCATGAATCATCTCCACCAAATCCAGTTCTCCAAGTTGTCCATGTTACTTCACATGCTTCCTGATTCTTCATCTCAGGCCCATCCTCCTCACCTGGAACATGATCAGCGTATTGCCCCGCCGGTTCGCATCCCACGCCACGTCCCGCTGCGTCTCCGGCGCGCGCGAGCTCCAGCTGCACCTCGGCGCGGCGGCGGAGAGCCACAGCGGGGCGGAGAGTCTCCGTGACCGGGACGTGGAAGGCCACACCTGCGAGACGGAGAGGAGAGGAGGGAAGGAGTGGAATAAGGTGGAGAGTTTGGGGTAAAATCACTTTTTTGGTGAGTTGGGGTTAGGGAAAGAATCACTTCTCTTTTTTGAGGTGAGGTTGGAAGGGTATGGGGTGGTCATATCAAATTTGGAGGAATTTCTCGGGAAGAGCTCCATCCAACAATCATGGCTCCGTTGAGAGGAAAACATGTGTCAAGAAGAGTGGACTGAGGCGCCAGTAAATATCGTGCAATTTGACCGGGCCTTTCTACCTGAACGGTCCAGTCGATCAGGGATTGGAGGGGCAGTCGAGGTGTCTGAATGTTTGACGTCCATTGTTTTGCTCAAAGGTTCACACCCAGAAGCTTCCGGTTCTCTCACCTCACTGGTAAAAAAACAACATGCCGTCTATATAAGGCATAGGAACTTTCAAATTCACATACCCTTTTGGAGTTTGCCATCCACCTGCCCCAAAAGAACCTCTGACCCCCGGACCTAAGTTACGGCCATTCTTCAGGAAGCTCATCGATCCATTCTGCACCATCGCTGTGATGGTGTCACCCTCTTGGAAGAATGTTCCATAGCGCTGCCATCGACCTTCATGAGCTTTCCAGCCACAAGCCGTCCCTTGGTCCACCGGTTGATCTTCCACCACTGGAAGCAACCATGTCTAGGTGAACATGGTGTGATCTCTGGTTCCAACATGTTCGATCTCAGAAATGGTTGGCAATCTTAAGACGACTTGGAGTACTTTAACCAGCACAGGATGTCATGCCTTCAATGTCCTGTCAACAAATCCAATGACACTTAAGGTTATCATTCCCTAGCTAGGGATCCAGTCGTACCTTCTCAGAAGGTGAGGACGGAGACACTGTTATGTAGGTTTGCAAGCTCCAAGTACCTTCTGAGAAGGTACGGGCTGGATCCCTATAGGGATTGCTCCCCCACCTTTCGACCAAACGTCCAAGCTTAGGACCCGGCCGTAGCACTCGGAGGCATGGAAGCCCCAGCCATCCTCAAAGCCTCCCTCCGCACGGATCCATCCGATGCGGATCACGCTGTCGGCCGGCATCGAGCGGATGTGCACGGAAAAGGCGCTGGAACCTGTGGATGCGAACAGCTCTGACACTGGGATGGACAAATCACACATGATTGGACAAAGCATCTGGACGAGCAAAATCAAAAGGGGCTCCTTCCTTGATGTTATCATTGCCCTCTCTTTCTCCAGTCTCATCCAATCTCTCTCTCCCGTGCTTTTCCCTCCCGTCCTGCCTCTCCGCACCGCGCCTGCGATGCACGTCCATCCGCGCCGAGCTCCTTGGAAGGCCTCGGGCGTCAACTGCTCGGCGTCGCCGCCGCCCGCACGGTCGGAGCCCAGCATGGAGGCGACGATGCTCCTGGGCGGCGGGGTGAGCAGCTGCTGGGCGGTGGGGGACGGGGAAAGGAAGATCGAAGTGTCTGGGCATTTCAAGGTGAGATTCACTGAAAAAGTCTGACATTCCAGTACAATGTTGCATTTGTGTTGCATCCAACAAATCTCACCGAAAAGAAGAAAGCTCGAACATCTCAAAGTCTGTGCTGTAAGTGGGGTTCTGCCGGGAGGTGGTGATTGTATGTGATTGTAGGGTTGTTTCCTATCGCAATTTTGCGACTGGTACTTTATATCTCCCTAGGGATCCAAGTACTTTCTCAGAAGGTACTTGGACCCTCCAAACCTACATAGCGGTGTCTCCGTCTTCACCTGCTGAGAAGGTACTTTAGGAACGGGTTGATGGATTGACCTTGAAAACATCATGTCTACACTTCTTGAACAAGTTATGGCTACGTGGATAGCATGTTCCCGATGTTGCAAGACCATGAAATCCAACCAAAAGGTGGTGAACTCCACTTCCATGATTCTTTTCAGGGAGTGCAGCTCCTGCAAAGAATCTGGTTGATTCTACATGTCTATATAAAAGTATGGCAACAGGTTGAAGGATTGATCTTGCAACATCAAGTAAAGCAAAATCCTTCAAAAAGTCTACTATCCGGCCCAAGCTCCACTCGCTGGTCATCTTGCTTGACTCCTCCACCTGGTCTTCTCCGCTTTCACCCGGTCTGCTCGGACAATAGCTCGGATATCGTGGCAAAATGAACTGCACTTCGCGAGCCAGGGCTTCTTGCAGGAACGCTTCCTTCACCTCTTCCCAACCTGGAACTCACCAGGACGCTAGATGTGCAGAAAAAAACATGAAACACCTGCACCGAATCATCTTCACCATCACATATTCTGAGTATCCAGCCACAGTAACATAAGGTAAGCCAATCAGAACCCAAACGCTCCATGTGCGGAATATTTGCCAAACCCTCAAACCCCTCAAACACAAAAAAACACTCGGCGAGCCACCGACGTTGGACACGGTGAGTAGTTGCAAGATGTAGGCGAGCCATGGCGTCGCCTGTTTGGTGCGACCTTCAGGCGAGGAGATGAATTGTTTCAGAGCCATATCCGCGGCGACACGGATCTCGGGCCACTGATCGCCTTGGATTTTGGCTAGTCAGACTGACCCGAGTGAACTAACATGGACCCTGTTAGTGGTTCGCCATGGCCTCCTGGAGGGATGTTTTCATACACTGTATCAACCAGTGATTTTCAGGGTTCAGGTTAGTTTGTGGGAGGGTAGCAAACATTGTGGGGGGGGGCTCTGGGGATCCGGAAAAAGCCCGGCTTAGGCCTAGATGATGTAGCAGGGGTAGGACGCAAAGCAACAATAACATCAACTCATTTAATCCAATACCAGGCCACAACAATGCAAGAACAATCTGTGCATCACAAAGTAGCCCTTCAATAGCTTCAAAGAAGCATGTCGATCTCCATAAAGCACCTGAAGCCACAGTGGCGCAAATCAATTGGAATCCAAAAACCTGCCCTGCCCAACGAAATCTTTCACCGGCTCAATCTGATTCACGCAGCACGGCAGCACCCAACAAAGAAGACATCTGCACCCGCACCACCCACAGCGTGGTTTATAGAAGCCCCTATGATGATGTGATTTCCAGGGTGGTGCTGCTGAGTTCCGTGAGTTTTTGTTTAAAGCTGCGACCTGCTTCAAGAGCTGATGCATCATCTCCGGAAAGGCCACGATGGCATCCACCGCCTGGACTCTGCGGTTCTGCAACGCCTGGAAGATCAGCGGCGGAATGTGCGAGTCCTGCGAGGCTCCCGACGTCTCGTGGCGATTCCGAGCAACGCCAATGGCTCATAGATGCTCATAAATGTCGGCCGGACCTGGCGTTTGATGAGTCAAGCCCCCACAAAGGTGTTGCATAGTTATGTAATTTAGGTATGGTTGGCAGTAAGCCAGCTGCTGACTACTAAGTAAGAGCTAGATGCACTGCCAATGCAATTCATCCGCTTCCTTTCTACTCCCTTCCCTGCCCCAGACAGGGCGCGCCATGTCCTCCTGCTGCGCGGAGGCTTCGGCCAACACGTGGAGGCACTCCGTCAGCAGCGACGCGGCCGTGTCGGCGTGGTGCTGGTGGATGAAGAGAGGCAACCAGTGGCTTAAGGGCTCCTGGACGGTTGGGCGGTGCTTCGGATCCTACGCCGTGGTGCCTGTGCGGCAGAGCGCAGAGACTGGCCCACTCCGGCCTACAAGTGGAAAGACATGGGCAAAGTGGATTCGGATGATGAATGACGACGATATACGACGGTTAAACTATGAGTATGAAATGTGGATAATACCAGGGATGGTGTTTGGGAATCTCATATTCCCGTTAATTTCCCATGTGGGTGATGATGGTGAGTAAAGACCTTGTCCCTTTATATAGTATAGTGACATAATATGTCAAGTCTTTTACCGACGGCTACTAGTCATGGCACCGCTCAAACATGGCACCGCTAGTAATGAACACAGTCCACCACTTCCAAACCCTCCGGATCCATCTGGCTTTGAAAAACGGTGCCTGGACCTCCCTGCCGGCAAAGCCCCGAACGCTCTATGTACAGCTATAGACCAATATGGCCTACATTTGGGTGATTTCAGTCGTCATTGTGCATATTTAACTATACATGGATGATTTGGGTACATTGGGCTTGTGATTCTTTTGAATAGGAGGTCGATGTAGCGCATCACATCTATTCTGTCAATACCCTGAGATCCTTCCATGCAGCCCCCTGCGGCTCCTTCCATGCAGCCTTGCGCAAGCCTCCCTGCCAGGCCGTCCGCGAGATCGCATCGAAGTGTGCCGTCAACGTCGCCAAGCGGCCGCGGCCCTGGGCCAGGACGCCGATGCCGATGACGTCCTCGTCCGGCCTCGAAGGCGGCCAACCAGCCGAAACGCGCCGTGGAAGGTACCGGCTCGATTTCAGGGATGCGTCGTTGATGGAGGAGAGGTCCCATCGTGTTGCACACAAAGGTGGAAGTCTCTGGTAGCCTTGCTATGCCTTTCTGATGGTTGTTAAGCTATCGTCTCATGAAAGTCATGCTGCTTCTGGGAGTAAAATGGGGCTGGTGCATGAGCTTGCTTGCGAACTGTGTCCTTAAGCGTGGTTGCACCATTTACACACACAGTTTGCCAAAAATGACTCCATGTGACATATAGATCTGCCCCTAATTAAGTCCGAACAACCCGGAGCCTCACTTTAAATCCAATGACCACGATGAGAAAACACCCCCCCAAAATGCTGAATCCACTCAATATCATCAATATCCCAAGTGGCCCAGTCTTTTCATGGAAGCACTGCACTTCTTGCGCTTCCCAAAAGACCGGCGCTTGAGCCGCTTCCTTCCAGGCTGGCACGGCGAAGGCCACGCCCACGCGCTCCCGTCGCAGCAGGAAGGACATCCTCGGCGGCGTTGTGGGGCGTTGCCTGGTGCCTGGTGCACGGATGTGTTTGTTTCTGGACAGTGCGCTTGGCGTGGCCTCTTGGTCTTAAACGTTGTTAAGAATCTTATATTTTAAAGAAGTTCGAAAAGGCCCGCATATCAACTTGGTGATGGAGCTGGATCATTTTTGAAAGTAGGCTTGGTCATGTTTGCTCCACTTCCGGAGCGGTACTTCCACGCCAGTCTCTTAAAACATGCGGCACCTGAAGCCGAGGCACATTTGAATGACCACACCCAACGGCCAGCTGGCCAAGCGTGCCATGCTCACAAGTGCCTCTTTGCAAAGTGGCTCACTGCTATAGCTGGCCCGGCTTCTCTGGATCACAGGGGTGTCCTTGCTGCATGTTGTGCATGCGACACACCGCACCCACCACGGCCCAAACAACCAATCATGGAACATTGGCGGGTTTTCAGGCCCCATGCGGCCCCTTGAGGGTGAGCATCAACAACCAAATAGCCTAGTTTAGATGTGGGACATCGACTGGTGGGACCGTCACCATGTCCAAGGAAGTACACAATCTGCTTTCTTTTCTATTTGGCGTGTGGGAATGTCCAGTAGTGCCTGCTAGAGTGTGTCAAAGGCTTGGCTTTTGATGAGCTACTGAGGTAGCCCAAGGTGGCGGCCAGGCCGCAGAAACCTCAAAGAGCAACAAGTCCCTTGGGGGGTCATGCTGGAATATAGATGAATATAGTGACATTGCAAGTCGTCCCCCCAAAAAAGCGACAAAACATGGGGCATTGCCTTTTTATGCCGTTTTTAGGTATGCCGAAATCCTAGCCAGCCACCATAATGCAAGCTTCCGACAAGGCAGCAACTTCTCGGAAGGCTGTGCGGCACAAAGGGCAAAACCGCGACTGCAACTGCTTGGCGCAGGGCAGGTGGAAGAAATGCTTGCACACCACCCTCAAGGCACATTCGGTGCAAATATAACAAAGCAAGACCTGCAAAAACGGGATTGATCTGGTTTGTAGTGTAGTACATATATAGTAATATATAGTAATCTCTTCAGTTTGAAGCTTGTCTAGGAGTGCAGCACAAGCACAAGCTGCAACAACACAGCTGCAGAATGTACCGGACCCATGCCCATCTCTTCTTTTGAGAATTTGTGTGCCCTTTTCAGCTCTCAGTGGGCCGGGAGCCGACAGTCAAAAGTCCAATATATGCACCGTCAAAAACTGAAGTTGAAGTCAAAACGGAAGAGGAAATTCAAGTCTTCCAACTGGACCTCTCTTGCACTTTCACCTTTCTCTGGGTCACCACCACCCCCATTTTAGCCACCACCCCCCTTTCTCTGGGTCACCTTTCTCTTGCATAGGTCGATTAAGGTCGCTTCACCTAGCTTTCTTCGTTTCTCCAAGAGGCTGCCCTCGTGCATCCACCAGCTGTGCCAAGGGCCGGGCGGCCGGTGCACCCTTCAGCGCGCCACGCGCTTCGTCGTCCAAGTGCCCCAGGCAGATCACGCAGGAGCTCTCCGCACAGGCCTCCAACCCACAGACGTCGTCCGGGTCGCGGTGGGGTACGGCGGGTGCCACGTTGGGTCGGAGCAGAGTCGGCAGCAGCGGGGGTCATCTCAAAAAGGACATGGATGGGTGGAGGTGAAGGAGGTGAAGGAGGCACCCAATCTTCAGATCTTCAGTGTTTTTTTTCTACTTAACATCTCATTCTTTGCTGGACTTGCCCAAGAAGTTCCCCAGTACTGGACCCAGAATGAATTTCCGAGAAGCCTGCCCACATCTCACTCACTCTATGCCCCATCTTGCTAGAATCGCCTCTTATGTCAACCCTCACACCAGGTCCCACTACCAAGCCTACTCTAGCCACTAGCTGCAGCCAACTCTACCTCCCTCCCGAACCTCCGGCAACACAGCAGCCACGGGGGCGTCATCACACTCCACGCTCTGGGGAAATGGAGGCCATTGAGCTCCGCCATGACGATGTCCACATCGGCACTCGAAGCCCACCATGTGCTCCACTTCGATGCCAATGGCCTTCAGACCCCCGAACGGCGGAGGCCAGAAGGGACCATGCATCGAGGTAGGAGCAAGGCAAGGGCTATAGCGCTGCGGCTGGGCGTCTGGGGTGGGTTTCTGAAAGGTTCTAGAATCAAGTGCATGTTTTTTGGCAGGGGGAGGCCACTTTCAGTGGAGCAAATCGCTGTGAAGCTTGACTGCCCCCAAAACTGCCAGCATCCAGCTGCTTTTGCACAACATGCGTCACACAAAGGATCCCTCCCCACGCATCCCGCAGCGCGTAGAGTGCGATCCCTGCCCTGCTCCAAGTGACTTTAAGCGTTCCACGTCCGTGGTCGCAGGCTTCACATCGCTTGCTCTTCATGGGGTTGTGAAGTGTGCAGCGTGGACACTTCCACCATTGAGTGCCATCACCTTCGAAGAAGAAGGTCTGCAGCTGCCGAAGAATGGCTAAGATGCTATACGCACTGCTCCAGCCCATGTAAGGTCGCCGCTTCCTTGAATCGCACCAGATGGGGTTAGGAAAACCCAAATTGGCGAAAGCGGGAAGAACCCAAGCAGCCATGGGCCATGAGTTGTCTATTTTTGGTTGGTGGTGATTTACTGCTGGTTCTTTCACTGTTCACTGGAAAGTCACAGAGCCTGGCCACTTATAGAAGTAGCTCTTCAAAACTCTGAAAAATGCTTCGAACTCTCACACCAAGCTTCTCCTCATCAGCAGCCCATTCCCCTCCCTCAAGCATATCTAAGCAAATAAAGGTGGAGAAGACATTCGGATGCGTTACGGTGCTTCCAAGCACCTCCACCCGCGGGGGCCGCACGGGATAGTCCTTAGCAACGACCCAAGGACAGTTCCGCCTTTTGGAGGTGCCTTTTGACGGATCAAACGGTAGTATCGACCCAACTCAGTTGGGAAGATGTAGGTATCACAACTTGCATTATCTGCAAGACTTGTAGTCTGATAAGGTCCAACTTGTACAATGGGACTAGTGCATCGATTGTTTTTTATGTACGATGCCACTGGAAGGCTGCCCTTACTTCCTGCACCTTTGCCTGAATTCGCAATTCTTCAGCTTGAAAAGCCAAGCTTCAGCACCGAATGTGAGCTCCAGGTGCAGAATGACGGGTGGGCCACCTGACGGTGGTTGTCCAGCGACATTGCAATGCCACGTGTACAAATCCTGGAACGCTGGGTATTGGTATCTCTGTGTGTGTGCGTCAGGCCACCAGTGCAGCATGGGTATGGGCTGTGGAACACAGTCTCGGCTGCCTGATTCTGACTCACAGCGGCAAAGATCCACAAGGATGTAAAAAACATGAATCTAAATGATGAATGTAAGAAGATGTCAAACCAACGTCTATGGAGAGTGTGGGCTAGCGGATATTTGCCAACTCCTATGTTATATTATATATCTCAATAGCTTGAAGGTCTGAGCATGTCGGTGTGGTGCGCATCGTCTTCGAAATAAATTCCTGGTTGAATTTATCAACATGTTTTACTTAAAACATGTGTAGTGGTCAGGATCTCAGCTGTCGGGTCTTGATCGTCGCTTGTTGACTGAGTGCCAAGAGCAAAAAACAATAAAATAAAAGTGTGTAAATCACGGCCAGACTAGACCCTGGACTAGGTTTTATTGATTCAGGATTGATCCTACTGTCGACTGTTATATAAATTAACATATATAAACCAAGTCCCCCCGTATTAACATCTTTGCCCATCTCCAGGAAGGAGGCTTTCTTCATCAGCAGCTTTCATTACAAATCTCCGGGATTCTTGAGCTCCGCCCACCGCCCATCAGCCGGGGTCCTCCTCCAGTGGCGCTGCTGAGACTCCCCAGCTAGGTTCTCGATGCACCAGCCGCAATTCCCGTTGCAAGCGACGAGTGGCAGCCACCGACATGGGGGGGCCGGTGGCTGGGCGGTTGTGGTCGTGGTCTGGGCAGGAGGTTGCTGGAGGAACTGCGTGGAGACTATTGGAGACTGACGTGCTCAGCTTGCGTAAACGGAAAGCCAAAACAAAAAAGAAAACACACAATTCGTGGACTTGTGTTCTTCTTTTCCTTAAAGGTGACGCTGGCAACCGCTCACTCCATTCTGGAACCAGGACGCGCTGCAGCAAACAGCACTTGGGCCTGGTCACGGCGACCAGCCTCATCATAACATTGCGACATCCGCAGCTGAACGCAACAAAAAAACACTTGGTCCCCCCCTCACAAGGTGGCACGGTTGAAAGAACTACTAGCAGTTCCATGTCGTGGTGCGGTGCCCAGAACATCCACTCACGCCCACCCGGACATGTGACTCCTGGTATTGAAAAAAAAGAAACCTCCTTCCACCCAGTCTCACATGAATCTTCACCAAAGCACACTTCTCCGCGCAGGCGCATCCTCTGCAGGGGCCCCGGGCAGTTCTTGCGGAGCTGCTGCGAGGCATCCGCCTGTTCGGGCAAGTAACGCCTCAGCTCGGCTCGGCTCAGCGTGCGCTGGAACCCAGCTGGAGGTGTCCGAAGCAGCTGGACCCCTGGAAGGACATGTGCTTTTAAACAATGGTGGTTTTTTCCTATTACCATGTTGGAAAGTCGAAGGGTATTTTATAAGGAAACAATTGATCAGAAGAGATGCCTCTGCTTACTGGCACAACTATATAAGTACCACCATTTTCATCCATTTTGATCAACTAGTAAGACTGCACGTGTGACCAGCAAAAGTATTGTTATAATGGCATTAACAAGACATGGGTCAATAGACCCGCGAAACCTGCAACTGTGGGTGAGCTGGGGTTGCTGGACATGCCAACATCTCCACATCACAACGCTCCCAACACCACTACATCACACTGCACCCCTGCCACTGACCGTGTGTCTTCATGACTTTGATGTTCGCCTGGTTTGGCGTTGCTTCGTTGTGTGGGCTCATTCTCTTGCTCCTCTTCTCACTCACTTTGTACATAACAATACTGTTCCAATCATGTAATTATGTGATGCCAGTGATGCTTATTTTGCTCAGTAAAAACTCCAGCATTCTCTCAGTTGCAATTTGCACAAGTTGATACATGAACCAGCGGTTTGGTGGTTCATGCTTCAGCCCGCTCCCTACAAAGCACCTTCAGGATCCTTCAGGTGCTAGTGGTGCCTTGGTTAGTCCCTCGCTTGCCCCAGTCATTTCATAAAGGTCACGAACTGAAGACCCTGGTGCAGTGACTCTTTCTATGACACTGGACCCACCTTCACGGGCGCAATCGACCGAAGAAGTGGATTTTGAGTCAATGGCCCCAAGCCCCTCAATCCAGCACTTAATTTGGCGAACGACTTAAACGCACGCCCGCTTTTTTAGGCTGTTTGTCTTGTGCCCAAGTGTTCTGACAACATCCTGCGCCCCATCCAATTAGCATTCATCTTGAAGGGGCATTGATGCTTCTTCAGTCACTGTGGGCCACCTATTCGCTTGGTACCGGGCACCAACAGCTCCGTCTTTTCCTCGGAGGTGAGCGCGAAGGGGTCCTGTCGATCGTGTGGACGTGGCCGAGGAGGGTCCGATTGGCAAAGCCTTACACTGCAAATGGTGTCGACAGATCCACAAAGAACACGAACACAGTAGTAGCCCCTCCCCAAGAGGCGATGTATCTGAAAGTGCTAGGCTAAATTCTAGAGGAGAAAGCCTTGCCGCGCTAGCGCAGGAATTCAATCAAGCTGAACCCCCGATGATGGCCCAACGTCTTGCATGGATTACGCCGTGGACTTAGCTCCTTTCGAGCCTTTTGTTGAAGGATCTCTTCAGCTTTTTGCCCTCCATGGCGCTTCAGGTCCTGCGCCAGGTGCAACAAAACCGTTTCAGCATGTTTCACCATGTAGGTAGCATGTGAAAGGCTGGTTTCGAACTGTGCCCAGCTCGTGCTTGAACACTGAAACATGACAAACGTACCGTCCACACCCCAGAAACCTCGACTGCCGACGTGGGATCTGATGTGCTGCGCGCGGCCGGGCGTGCCTTCACATAGACTTGGAGGGCCTGGTGGATGCGAACCGGGACCAGCGACCGGGACCTGGACCTGGGTGTATCCCCGTGGGCTGGGCACTCCAAACAGAATGGTCCTGGATGAAGACGTATCTATACGTATCTATGATATGAATCACTATCTGCACAAAAGTCCCAGGCCGCGTCTGCTACCGAAAAGACAAGAAGAATAGTTTATGTCTAGAGTCTAAAGTCGACTCTTCAAAGAAAAACATCTCTGGATCCACTTTTTTTTGGGGGGGTATAGTTGGCTGCACCCAAAAAAACATCAATAGACACCATACTGTCCAGTATAAAGGTCTCAGTGTGCTTCTTGCCCTCCAAAACCCTGCCCCCCGGTTCGAACGCCGCCTTCGACGTCAAGCGCGGTGGCGGTGACTCTTCGAAGGCCTTCTTCACGACACCGCGCAGGCGCAGCCTGGGCGAGCGACGCGTCCGATCCCGGGCGCCACGATGAATGGCACAAATAGCCAAACACTCCATGGGACTGGCACATACACCCTGGAAACCACAACAATGTATAGGTAAATATATGTATAAATATGACATACATGGAGTATCTGGGATATGAACACATGAACTTGTGTGAACATCAATCCTCACACACGCGCAAATGCACACGCACAGCAAAAGCACACAGTAATTGCACCTTGAAAAGGACACGGCTCCCCAAGCTTCCTCGCCCGGAGGTGTTGAGTAAATTGTTATGACTCATTGGCCCATTCGCCATCATTGGCCCCCAAAAGAATGCAACCCAAGTAGCAAACAAAAGCTCACAAACATGCCAACACTGGGAAATCAGCCTGTGCCATCGAGGTCTTCATTTCAGTGCCTGTGCTGTTGCATGCTTTCTCAATTCCACTTATTATATTATACAGTTATAGTTGGCGTAGGGACGGGATTAAAAACGTTCCCCCAAAAGTAGGGTGTCACTTCTGATTCTCAGCTTGCCTGGAGGCACTATGCTCGCTAGGTGTCAGGCTTCTTCACTTGCCTCGCCACGGACACTTGGCGCACGCCAGCCTGAACCAAAATGAGACCAACAAACCAAGCGCCAAGTGAGCCAAGCAATCAAAACAACGACCTCAACTTGGAACATAATGTGACATGATTGGTAGGAAGGTTGTCAGCTTGTCTAAATCCAATACCAATGTCAGAAAATGGCATTGCTCAGTGAGCGACTGGAAGTGCCAAATGCCACAGCCGGCGTCGAAGGAGCATGACGCCTGCCGCAAGTGGGGCAGGCCTCACTGGGTGGATATGTTGTGGAAAATCTATATATTCCCAACCTCGAATCTATCAGTTTTTAACGTCGATGTATATTATCCAAGTGTTGTATAGATCTGTCAATTTATCTGCCTTGCAAACTCCACAAAGCCTAGCGTGTCATGCAAACACATGGGCTTTCAAAATATCTCAAAATTGCAAAAGTTTAAGAAATCAAACAGCTGACTTTTCAGATCAGAACGCCTTCACCTTGTTATTTTCCAAAGAGAGTCCTTGCGTTGTGACAAGGCGGTTTCAACCATTTGTCCCATATTCACCGAACACCCACGGCTATTATCGCGTAACCTCCCTTCAATCCATGGACTCTGCGATAGTGTGCAAACACGCGCAGCATATCCTGGCTTTGATCTCATTCTTACTACCCTATGGATCCACATACCCTCTTTTCGAGGGTGATTGGAGACACAGGCGCTAGGAGGGCCTGTGAAGCTCAACGTCAGACACTCCACGCACGGAAGACACTCCACGCTGCCCGAGAAAGAGCGAAGAACATACGTTACCACCCCTTGGCCATTGCTCGAGAGTCATATATATATATATATGGCAATCCCAAACAGATCGTGTCCGAGAAAAGCAGCCACCTCGGCACCTCTGCGTCTGGGCCAGCCACCGGCTTCAGTGTAGATGCCACCTGAGTGCTGTCAACCCCTCCATCAGGCGGTGAGCAAAGACTACCTTTGAGGCTCCTTCAGGAGTTGTCAAGCTAGACGATGTCAATATGTTGAGATGCGCCTACCCTCCCTGCAACGTCCTTATGGAAGTGGATGGCATGGTGCCCGTGGAAAGGCCATTCAATCAACTGCCGGTTGTCCACTTCCATGTTTGTTGGAGGGAGAGTCAATGCGAAAACTCCGAAGGCATCAGTGCAAATTGCCATCAGCAAGGAGTTCTTTGCATGGCGGTGGAATCGGCGTCCAGCCCCTCCGCAACATCTCCAACAGTTTATAAAATGGGCCAGCAACGGCCTAAGATTCAACTGCAAGCAAACAAAATATTCCAAGAAAAGACATAAACAAACACAGAATTATGACACTTTGTATGTGATTCAATACCTGAAGTGATGATCACGGCCCACAAGAACTATTGGAAACCCTCCATGCTTGGCAGTGGCCATCGAGCATCGCTCGTTCCTGCCAAGCAAGAAGGCAAATTGTGGAGGAAAGCTATGTTCCAAAGCCGAGGCGGTCTAGAGATGTCTAGAGTCTATACAGGAAATGCACCATGGAAGAGAGCTAAATGAATTAAGCCTCAGTCTATCTCAGTCTCAGTCTTCCTCTCAGCCCGTGGGCCACGAGGAGCCCGCGTCGACTCCTTGTGCTCTTCATGGCAGAAATGGCACTCACTCCCCTTGTCGCAACGGCCGCGCTGGAACCTGCGGCAAATGTTGGGGCAGGTGCCGCTGGCTGGATGAAAGCGAGAGCCCCAGGAAGGCAGGCCGGTAGATGCGGAAGGAGTCTCGGTCACCTCTGACGGAGCAGAAGTGGCAAAGGCTGCTCCCAGCTGGGGGGGGGAAGAAGCGGAGCGCATTGTGCCACTGGTGACATCGGACAATTCATCTCTGGGGTCTTTCCCCAAAACGGCCAACCCTGAAAAGGATTTC